ATTAAAACCAAATCTTGTCCTTTAACAATATAAACCATTCAAGAATAATCACAGAATGGAACTGATATAATTGAAAAATTTAATTGATGTAATTAAAAGTTCAATTATATAATTAAAAAATTCAATCATATCCGTATGATAATTTATGCGTTATAACTTGAGAGCAAATAATGCTAATTTTCAAATTTAATGTTAACTTTATTGACAATAATGAGACACACTAAAAGAAATCTATTTATTGGCAATGTGAAAAGTCAGGTTTTGAAAAAAATTACAACTTTCTCAGTTCGAAACAATGCAACAGTTTGTTTATTAAATTTTCGTTTCTGATAATAATCGTATGTTTTGTATTTATTTTATTCAATTAAGCAATTTTTTCGCAGGATTCGGCACCGATATATGACATCAGTTCAATCAAGGTGCCAGTATATGTGTATTGGAGCGACAACGATTGGCTAGCCGATGCAGTAGATGTTGAAGTCAGTAATAAAAAAAGTACTCAATGATGGATTTCCGATGACTGAGTAAGGTTAGAAAATCAATACGTAATTAATACTTATTCAGACTTCATTGCTGTCGAAGTTGCCGGTAACGACAGTGAAAGTGAAAAGAAAATTGTCGGATTTCAATCATCTCGACTTCATATGGGGCCTTCGCGCACCTATCGAGATCTACCATCCAATCATAAAACTCATTCAAGAACATGAAACCTTGAGAACTACTTATTAATTTCAGAAATTTCTTATTTTAACAAGTCATATGCAGTGATAACTAATTCTTTATTATTTTGTATGAATAAATATTTCTAAATTTCGGAAGAAAGTAAAATTTTTTACACTTTCTAGAAAACTTAATTATTTTCGAAGTACAAATTTTGGAAATGTTATCTAAGCAAAACACCATCAAATGGTTCAGCAGAATTTTTTTTGATGTGGGAAATTTTTGGCAAACTTTTTGAGCCACAAAAAATATATACTTTGAACCTATATCTCAATAACAAATTAATTTTTGATTTTTTTTTTGACTGAACGCGTCGTATTTGCACGAGAGTTTAAATTTCGAGAAATATGAAAAGGCCTGAAATAAAAATGTGAATATTCTTGAAGAACTTTGAACTACCTGACACCTCGACTGCAGCACTTTGGTTGTTAAGCTTTAAGTCTTTTAATTTTTTAACAGGCTAATATCCACTCGC